CCCACCGATGAGCTGACGGATGCTCCCACCGACGCACCCACAGATGCTCCCGCTGCTGAGGCCACTGAGCTTCCCACCGACGAGCCGACGGAGGCTGCCACCGACGCTCCCACCGATGAGCCGACGGAGGCCCCCGCCGTTGAGTCCACCGAGCTTCCCACCGACGAGCCGACGGAGTCTCCCATCGACAAGCCGACTGATGTCCCCACAAATGAGCCGACGGACGCTCCCACCGATGAGCCAACGAAGGCCCCTGTCGTTGAGTCCACCGAGCTTCTCACTGACGCACCCACCGAAGCCCCAACAGATGCTCCAACGGATGAAGCGACTGATGCACCCGCCGTTGAGTCCACCGAGCTTCCCGCTGACGAGCCGACGGAGGCTCCCACCGATGCTCCCACCGATGAGCCGACAGAGGCCCCCGCCGTTGAGTCCACCGAGCTTCCCGCTGACGAGCCGACGGAGGCTCCCACCGATGCTCCCACTAACGAGCCGACGGAGGCTCGCACCGATGCTCCCACCGATGCTCCCACCGACGAGCCGACTGATGCCAACACCGATGAGTCTACTGAGCTTCCCACCAACGCACCCACCGAAGCCCCCACAGATGCGCCTACGGATGAAACTGATGCTCCCGCCGACGAGTCCACCGAGCTTCCCACGGACGAGCCGACAGAGGCTGCCATCGATGAGCCGACGCAGGCCCCCACCGATGAGCTGACGGATGCTCCCACCGACGCACCTACCGAGGCACCCACCGAGGCACCCACAGATGCTCCCGCCGCTGAGGCCACCGAGCTTCCCACGGACAAGCCGACGGAGTCTCCCATCGACAAGCCGACGGAGTTTCCCATCGACAAGCCGACTGATGCCCCCACAAATGAGCCGACCGACGCTCCCACCGATGAGCCGACTGACGCTCCCACCGTTGAGCCGACGGAGGCCCCCGCCGCTGAGGCCACCGAGCTTCCCACGGACGAGCCGACGGAGGCTGCCACCGATAAGCCAACCGATGAACCAACGGAGGCCCCTGCCGTTGAGTCCACCGAGCTTCCCACTGACGCACCCACCGAAGCCCCCACAGATGCTCCAACGGATGAAGCGACTGATGCACCCGCCGTTGAGTCTACTGAGCTTCCCACTGACGAGCCGACGGAGGCTCCCACCGATGCGCCGACTGATGCTAACACCGATGAGTCTACTGAGCTTCCCACCGACGCACCCACCGAAGCCCCCACAGACGCACCTACAGATGAAACTGATGCTCCCGCCGACGAGTCCACCGAGCTTCCCACAGACGAGCCGACAGAGGCTGCCATCGATGAGCCGACTGATGCACCCGCCGTTGAGTCTACTGAGCTTCCCACTGACGAGCCGACGGAGGCTGCCATCGATGAGCCGACGCAGGCCCCCACCGATGAGTCGACTGAGATTCCCACGGACAAGCCGACCGACGCACCCATCGATGAACC